CTTATTTTTTTATGCAAGGCAATTCAAAGGATAAAATCATGATCCTTAATATTGAATTATAATTTTGAATGCATAGCTTTACAAGCTAGGATAGATTTTTCTTTTTTTTAATCTCTATTCACTCATTTTAAGAATTCTATTCATTAAGATGTTTTCTAATCCATTTGATATAATTATGATTTTTAATTTTTAATTTTTATAAATTTTATAACTTTAAATATAAAAAATTAAATAAAAAATTATTTAATCTATAATAAATAACTTTTTTATATTTAAAATTATAAAAATTATAAAAAAATTAAAACTTAAAAACTACAATCATACCAAAATCAAAGCCTAATTATTTGCCCTTTTTTTAATAGATGACGTATTATTTTTTTACTACTAACGTCTAATAATGGTGGACTGACAAATCAGGAATAGCTCCCTTGTCTGCACTCCTCACCCAAATTTCTCTTCGTCTCTTCCTTGCACTAAAATTCGACTTCGCCCCTAACTCGAACAACCTAAAACCTTGTCTTCGATATATATTTTTTAAAAAGTTTTTCCCTTTTTTTTTTATTTACTAATGTTTTTTACAACAAAAAATAATTAGATAATTAATTCGAATGAAAAGAAATCAATTTTTTAAAATAAAATTTTAAATTTAAGTATTATAAATAAAGAAACAACCATTGAAAAAAAAATTAAAAAAAACTAAAGCAAATTGAATTTAAAATAAATAAAAATTAAAAAGAATAACAAAAAAAAAAAAGGTAAAAAAAAAAATTAAATAATAATAATAACAATTATATTACGGCCTCAATTTTCAAGTTCTTCAATCTCAGAACTAGTGTTTGAATCCTAGATATTCATTCTACTCACCAAATTAAGAAGAAAAAAATTGAGCAAAATAAACTTATACATACACTATAAAGCAAGCAGAGGAACTACGGATCCGGCAGTTCAGGCACCCCCAGTCGTGCACTCCGGTCCATGCAATGGTCGGGAGCTTCTGATGATGATGACGGAGATGGAGAGAGACAGCTGGAGCGGCAAGTGGGACAAGAGGAATGTGAATTCAGCCACTGCTTGATGCACTGCTCATGAAATCCATGCTTACACCTTCCCAGCACCTGAATTCCTTCTCCCTCCACAAACTCCGCCAAGCAAATGATGCATTCCGCCTCCGTCCCCGCCAGCTCCATCCCCACCGTGTACGCCACCGCGGGCGCTGCCACCAAGGAGGCCGCAGCGCCTCCCCCGTCTGGCTTCCTCTGCCGAAGCACCGTTTCCTGTTGTGTCTGGGGAAGGCTTTCTCCCCGGCGTCGACGGCTCCGCCCACCTCCTCGGAGGAAGCAGCGGATGGCTGCGTTGAGCGTCAGAGCACAAATTAGAACACAAAACAGAATAATCAGGACCGACGCAACGTTAGCTTCGAACTTATTCGAATTGGCGTCAGGCCGCAACTTGCAAGTCTGGGGATTGCATGTGGGTGTTGAGGTGGAGGAGAACTGTGGTTCACCGGTGGAGAGCGGTGAAGAGATACGGAGGAGAGGTTTAAATGGCAGCATTTGATTAGTTATTTTGCTCTCTTCTTCTGGGTGGGGTTATATAATATTGTCCCCTGTTTTTGGTTTATGAAGCAAAATAGAAGCTTTTATTGGTCCCAGAAACGTTTACGTGCCTTTTGGCCTTTTGTGATATGATGAAAGAGAAATATATGGTAATTTTGTTGGTATAATTAGGATTCAAGAAATGCATACGTGCAACTGAGGTTTTAGAATATCTTTCCAGGATATTCGATTAATTATGGGTTTTTGTTTTTTTTAACGAGGAGCCTAAAAAAAAAACCTTAGGTTAATGGTTAAAAATACAGATAAAAGTTTAAATCTTCATTATAGTAATTTTAAGTGACGTGTTTTAATTTTTGTAGGATATTTATGTTTTACTCTTTGAGGTATTTCTTGAATGTTCCTTGAACCCCTTTGAAGTTTTCCCAGGATCTCCATCTCCAGCAACGGTAATCAGAGTCAAGTAATTGTAAAGTCATGGTTCTTAATTTTATAAACAAAACTATTACATATAGTGTGAATGGGAAATGATTTTGGAATTAGTTTTTATATTATTTTTTTATATAATTTAATTTGTTATTTAAATGATTAATTTTTTTAATTTATATAAAATTTATAATATTAAATGCATTTATTTATTTAATAATATATAAAAATTATATAAAAAATTACACAAAAAAGTTGTCCCTATATC